AGTTTAAGAGAATGCCTTTCGGATTGTCATATGCAGGCGCGACCTTCCAGAGGTTGATGGACAAAGTGATTGGCCCGGACTTAGATCCGTTCGCTTTTGCTTACCTCGACGACGTGATCATTATATCGCCGTCCTTTGAGGAGCATAAGTGACACCTGGAGTTGGTTTTACAACGAATTCTGGGTGCGGGCCTCACTGCAAACAAGACCAAGAGCCACTTCTGTAAATCGGAAGTCAAGTATCTAGGGGTCCTTGTGAACCGTGAAGGAGTAAGGCCAGATCCGGAGAAGATCAAGCCTATTATGGAATACCCAACACCACGGACCATCAAGCAGGTAAAGCGATTGATGGGGATGATGTCGTGGTATCGTCGCTTTATACCCGACTTCGCGACAATCGCTGAGCCGATAAACCGCCTGACGAAAAAGAGCGTTCCGCTCGCGTGGCAGCGGGAGCAAGAGCAAGCTTTCGAAAGGCTACGAGACGCAATGGTCTCTGCACCAATCTTGCAGTCGCCGGATCCCAGCGGACAGTTTGTATAGCAAACGCACGCGAGCGATAGCGGGATCGGCGCCGTACTGACGCAAGAAATCGATGGACAGGAGCGCGTCATAGAGTACGCCAGTCGCTCCTTAAATAGTGCGGAAAGGAATTACACAGTCTCTGAGCGAGAGTGCCTGGCTGTGGTATGGGCTATCGAGAAGTTCCGGCCTTATGTTGAGGGGCACCACTTCAAAGTCATTACCGATCATAGTTGCCTTAGGTGGCTCCACAGTATGAGGAATCCTACAGGAAGGCTAGCGCGTTGGGCGCTAGCACTGCAGGGACATGTTTTCGATATAGAGTATCGAAAGGGAGACCTCAACGTGGTGCCAGACGCTTTGTCTAAGGTCTATGAGGAGGGGGTGGTAGAAGTAGGTGCCATGACTCATCAGCCGGAAACTGCCGATGCCTGGTATCTGCAGAAGTACCGAGAAGTATGCCAGGATCCCCACTCTTATTCTACTTGGAAAGTAGTTGGAGGGAGGCTGTACCATTACAACCCGACAGAAGAGAACGAAGGGTCCATCGATAATGAGGAAGCCTGGAAGCTTGCGGTGCTGAGAAAAGGCACCAAGTGCTGGAAGAGGTACATGATGCACCAGCCGCGGGCCACCAGGGTAGAGAACGGACGTTCTCTAGGGCGCCTGTACTTCTGGCCTAAGATGTACGAGCAGGTCAGAGAGTACGTGAGGAGTTGCCCGGTCTGTCAACAATGCAAGGCGGAACAAAGGCCGCCTTGCGGGGTAATGGGTCGTCGAGAGGTCTCGCGACCCTGGCAGGTGGTAGCCAGCGATATTACGGGCCCATTCCCAAAGAGCTCAAGAGGGTTTGAGTATATCTTGGTCTTTTTAGATCTGTTCACTCGGTGGGTTGAGTGCGTACCCATACGCAAGGCCAATGGAAGGACCATTGTGCCGGAGTTGCACGAGAGAGTGGTAACCAGGTTCGGGGCGCCCGAGATATTCCTTTCGGACAATGGAACCGAGTATAAGAATCAGGATGTCGATGCCTACTTGCTCAGGAACGGCATCCGGCGCGCCCTCACTCCAATTTACCATCCACAAGCCAACCCTACGGAGCGAGTGAATAAAACCCTCAAGACCATGCTCATGTCATACGTGGAGCGTGATCATAAGAGCTGGGTCGAGCACCTGCCAGAGTTCAACTTCGCGTTGAACTCGGCAACTCATAGCGCGACAGGCTATAGCCCGGCTATGCTCGTTTTCGGACGACAACCGACACCGCCCTCGACATTTAGAAGGGCCCAGGATCAGCAAGCCCGAGAAGCTTCTGAGGGCCAGGAACTAACCGAGTGGAGTGAGCACATGCGCCTATTGCCCAACTTATGGGAATGCGCTGGCTCTAAGTCTATGGAGGAGGCAGATCGTCAGGCGGTCTACTATAACAAGAGGAGACGTCAGGCCGACTTTAGGGTTGGGGACTGGGTGTGGAAACGGAACCGTATCCTGTCTTCCGCAGCTCAGGGCGTGTCGGCGAAGTTGGCGCCGAAATATGATGGTCCATATGTCATCGAGGAGGTATGTGGGACCAATACCTACCTCCTTGGTAACCAGCAGGAGGTATTGCCCGAGCTGGTCCACGCCAAGGACCTCAAGCCCTATTTCGGTCCATTCTCGGATCAAGACGATAAGGAGCCGGGACGAGGGGATTCAACGCCGCAGGACGAAGAGGAGGGCGCAGGCGACCCGCCCACGAAGGTCGAGGGTCCCAGCGGGGATCCTATGTGTGAGAGCACTGCAGTAGCAGCCCCCGCGAATGTGTCCGATGAGTCCATAGCGGCTCCAAAGACGCTGACCAAGGCGCCGGCCAAACGAGGCCGCGGTAGACCGCGCAAAAACCCCGTAAGTGTGCCCCAGGCGTCGGATAGTAGTGACCCGAATGGCGAGAAACCAACGGAAAGGGGCAGGCCCCGTAAAACCGCCAAGCACGTGCGGAAGGTTGTCCTGCCAATTCCTCTCACCGATTAGTCACACGCGCGAGTGAAGCACGGGGGACCGGGACGTCCTCGTAAAGTGTAGCGTCAAGCGTGACGCAACGACGGTTAGGTTAAGGGCCAAACCTGAGATATCCCTTGACCGCACTCTTCTCATTTACAGATGGAGAGGAAGCTAGTGATTGGCGAGGAGGCCTTCGAGGTAGCCAGCAGGATGCTACTCGACCTAAATTTGGGCCCGGACGCCGATCGGCCGATCGGCGAGGTCAGAAGTTTCGTCCGGGCCCAGATGGCGGTGGCTGCCCGAGAGGACCGACCACGCCAGCGGGTGGACGACTTCCTCCGGGAAGGATTGAGGCCGCCGCCTAGGAAGGCGCCAACCCGGGAGGCGTCCACCCTGACCGACGGTCCATTTGAAGAGGGCCGTCGGTCTTCGTCCACGATGGACCAGGAGGTGCAGACCCCGGAGTCGAGCAAGCCAGAGGTGGCCGCCAGCTCGACTCAGTGCCCCAGGCCAAAGGAGGCCTGTGGCCAGGGGCAGTGGGTCTGCAACCACCCCCGCGTTCCTAAGCAACAGGGGCTCGAGAACTCCTGGAGGCACGTGAGGTTGGGCCTCCAGGAGCTAGAAAATGCCTGGGAGTTCGTCGGGGAACTCCAACGCCAGGTGCGGTCGCACCTGGACGAGTTCCTGGACTTCCAGAGAGCCCGGGAGTTGCTCGGGGAGTGGACTCCGGTGGTCCGGCGGCAGAGGGCCTATGGAGAGGCCCTGCTGCGGGTGGACCGGGTGCAGGAGTCCCCAGAAGTCGTGGGCCCGCCGGCGGCTGTACAGCCTACGGTACCAGGAGGTAGGGCCGCGGCCAAGACTCCTGCCAAGCCCCCGGCGCCAGCTCAACCGAAGAGAGCCCCAGGCCCCCCCCCCCCCCGGTGCCGGACAAGAGTTCACGGTCCACGTGGACGGGTCGAAGGTTTCCGACCCTACCGCGGTGGTGCGCACACATGGTGGACGCACCTCCGCGACGGTGGGCGGCGTGACGTTTACCGCCGCCCTGGGAACCTCGACCCCACAGCCCCCTCCGCCGGCGGGGAGCCACGGGCAAGGATCAGCGCCCGGCTCCTCCAGGTCACAGCGGAGGGGCTGTTATATTTGCGGACACCCCGGCATCACCACCACCTCCAAGTGCCCGAACAAAGCGGAACACTGGCGCTACCCCCGGCACAAGGCACCAGGAGGCGCCGATAGATGAGGTGGGAGGGTGATGGCCCGGGTGAGGGCAATAAAGACGTTTTTTATAAGAGTGATGTGTGGTGATTTCTCCCCTTCCCTTTCCTGTCCTTAGGGTCGCGAGTCAGCGAAATAGTTCGGCCCGGTAGTCCGAATCTAGGAGGGAGCTGCAACGATTGCCGAAAATCGTTTGGACTCGCGTGAGCTCCTAAGCGTGGCTGAGCGTAACAGCCGCGATCGGTTTGAGTTAGAGAGAGAGAGAGGGCGCGTTAGGGGCAATGACCGGGAGGGGAGAGTTAGCTAGCCAGTATGACTGTGTCCTTCAGTCAGGCGACCTCGCAGTTCTTTGCGTCGGAAAAATAAAGAGTTCTTTCCCACTCGAGTGATACCGTGAGTTAGAACAGATAATTAGCGAGTGACGAGGCGAGTGTGCACACTGCAGAACGTGTGCACAACTAGTGTCAAGGATAATTGTTATCTTTTTTATTAATAATCAATCAGGAATCACAAAGCATTGTGAAGAAATCTTAATAATTACAAATAATGTCGTTTCAAAATAATGTTACTCAAGTTAGAATTATGAACGGGTTTATGAAAAAGCTTACAACAAAAAAACCCTTACAGGAAGGGTCACCTAGATACTACATGTGTTATGTTTCAAGAACGTCGAATTCTTTGTTGTTTCCGAATCCGTGATAAAAAAGTAGGCTATTCCGAGAAACAGAAAGTTGACCTTCAAGAGACCTTGAAAATGACCCTTAAGGTCGAAGTTAAGGTCACCACAAGATGCCCCTCTCAAAATGCAATAACTTTTGTCTACATCATTTTTCTCTAAACCATACCAACCTTAGGTTAGTTATGTGGAAAGATTAAGAAAAAAATAACATTGAACTTTACGTGATGTTGGGGGCGACCTTAGTGGTCACCCAGACCCCACGTATAACAGGTCATCTAAACGTAGAATTTCCCGGTCTTTCTGAATCCGAGGTCAAAAATGGGGGTTTCTATTTTAAAAAACAAAGTTGACCTTCGGATGACCTTGAAAATTACCCTCAAGGTCAGAGTCAAGGTCACCCGATTATGTCCCCCTTGGAGTCCAGCAACTTTTGTCTGAAACATGTTTCACGCATCCTTACCTGGAAAAAGATTTCTGGGTGCTTCGATTAAAATGGTCCACCCTGTATAGTTCTTTAATAATACTGCATATTACTAATTAATTCAAAACAGTAAATAGCTTGTGCAGAATGCTTTACTGATAAATAAATGTTCTTTCTTTTGTAGGCATTGCATATTTGTGAGGAAGGTCTTGTACTCATGGAAGAGGCGACAAATATTTGGAGTCACCTAGTATCACAATGGACTCTACTCATTGATTTAGAAGGATTGAATATGCGTCATTTGTGGAGACCTGGCATAAAAGTGAGAATGAATTTTAAAGTAAATAAGGACTATTATATTTAAGTATATTTATTCAACATTTTCAATAACTTTTTAGGCACTACTCCACATCATTGAGATTGTTGAATTCAATTATCCTGAAACATTGGGACGAGTTTTGATTATACGAGCTCCAAGATGTTTTCCAATTTTATGGACACTTATAAGTACATTTATACGTACGTATAAATAATATGTTTCAACTAAATAAGTAATACTAATTTTTTAGTTTATATTATATTTTTTTGCTGTTTTGTTCTACTTTTGAGGGTGTGATTTTTAGAAGTATTAACTCATCTATATGAGGCGAGTATTCGCCTAGAAATATACCATGAAATATGATTTTAGAATGAAGTGATCATATGAAATATTTTATAATTAAGTACAACAAACATTAATTGAGACAAATTGTCATTTCCGATTATTAGATTCAAACTTAATGTTACGTCCCAAGCAAGAACAGAACTGAGATGTTGCTGATCAGCCATTTGCATATAGAGGCTTATCTCAAACTTTCTCACGAAAATGACCAGCTTTGTAAATTCTTACTCTCTCTAGATCCTGAATAGATCCACAGATGAATTACGCCTATAAACTGATACCGTTTTCGTAGAGAATGAAAAGTATGCATAGATGTGTACTTGATGTGTAGCTTTAGAGAAAAGTTCATTGCGACAGAGAAAGAGAGACTGAGTTCTTTTATTTTACATTCTCACGAGAGTCACTGAATAAAGAGAACCCCTCGCAGCTGATCTCGCAACAGTAGAGTGCTGAACATTGAACCCGTCCACTGGCGACAATTGTTATTGCCCCAGTGAATCTACTATTACCTTCACTATTAGAGATTAGTTAGGAAGACCTCGGAAGATTTAGGTAAAGGACTCGTAAATGGGAAGAAAAAAAGAACGGTCACGCGGTGCCAACGCGGGAAGTTTAGCGTTAAAATCGCTAATTATACAGATCGACAAAATTTCAAAATGAAAGGATTTAGAAACGTTATAGTCTATTTCCTCAATTTTTCAAAGCGTTGAATTCGAATCTGATTTCTGAATTGACTTAATACCAAAGGTTCTCGAGATACCCTAAGCTAAAAGTGCGAAAATCACGATATTTTAACATCTTCATGGTTATGTTACCAATCCCTTACATAAATTTTTTTTCCAATAACTAGTAGAGTTATGACAATAACAAAGTAGTATTCTTGCCCATTAAAACTCATATTTTGAATTAAAATTTCTTTTTCATCGTAATATCATTTATTGAAGTGAAGTACTTTAGCAGTTTTATGACTACATTAAAACAGCCCAATCGCCAAATACATGTATCTAGCATGCTGTAGTCCCTTAAACCACGAGGGCCTTAACCCATGATCTCTGTTATCTATGAGGCTATAATCTTAAACTCTTAAATCCTAATTACTTTGGCGGGTTAGTGGTTTTAGGGCAAAAAAAAACACTTTTTTGCGAATTGTTATTAAAGACATGAATAAAGTAGATTTATTCAAATCTTTCGTACATTATAAAGTATCGTTTTAGCAATATTCTGTAATGTTTTCGATAGAAAATATATAGAAATAAGCCGCTGATGGAAGTTTTTCGAGAACGTATTTTGAAAAAGATGATCTGCGATATCCACTATATCTTAGCCAACAATTATCTGAAATAAAAAAACGAAAAATTTTCATTAAAGCATTGCTAAAGTCAACTTCCAATTGTTTTTAATTGTTATTATTTTATTTTAAAAATTTTTCAATTATTTGTAGTAAAAGAAGTGATTTTTCACTAAAACTTATGTCAGTTTAACAGTAGAAAGCCCCTTTCATGTAAAAAAATTATCTTTACTTACTAACCGTTGGAAGGACCTATTTTACATGGAGAATATGTATACTAAATTTGAAAAGAATCAATCAAGTAGATTTTGAGTTACAATAGATACGAATTTTAAAATAGTGGTTTCGATAAAAATGTGTTTAAAGTTTAAAATATAAAAAGTGATGCAAAAATTTTTTTTTTAACTTACATCGAGTCATTGATTTTTGCTCTATAAAGTAAATTCTTTAGCAATGTACTTTATGTAGCTTTGTCTTATGCTTCTATATGATTAAAATCCTTTTTTAAAGTGCAAGCCAGTAACCCAACCCTCGACCCTTGTAACCTGTGACGATATAACCTTAGACTCTTGGACCCCAATTATCTTCACTTTCTACTTCTGTAACCTGTGACTATATTACCCCAAATCCTCGAACCCCAATTGCCTTAACTATTATAACCTGTGATTTTAATGTTGTTAGGAAAATGCTAAAATACTTAAAATTAATCCATAATACGAGGGTTATTTGAAAAGTCCGTGCAAAGTCAGAGAGATGACACTACTAGTGCGTATCAAGGTTATTTTCAGTTAGTGGCATATCTTGGAAGAGCACACACCAAGTTTCAGCCAGATCGGCCGATTACTTTGCGTTTTACATTCGTTTCAATCAAAGAAATCGAGTGATGTAAAAAAATGGACGAAAAAGAATTTCGTGTATTGATTAAACATTACTTTTTTAAAGGCAAAACTCCTCAGGAGATTAAACAGAAGCTTGATAAACATTATGGTGATTGTGCACCTTTGATTAGAATGGTTTATAAGTGGTTTCAAAATTTTTGGAGTGGCCATATGAGCACAAAAGACGCTGAACGTTCTGGACGCCCTGTTGAGGTTACCAAGGGGGAATCTGCTCCGAAAAAGGCGAAGACAATTCCTTCGGTCGGGACGGTTATGGCGACTGTCTTTTGGGATTCGCAAGGAATAATCTTCATCGACTATCTGGAAAAGGAAAAAACCATTACAGGCGAATATTATTCATTGTTATTGGATCGTTTGAAAACCGAATTGCGTTCCAACTCGTTTCATATCCCCCTATTCTCTAGACTTGGCTCCGTCGGACTACTATTTGTTCCCTAATATGAAAAAATGGCTGACGGGGAAAAGATTTTATTCAAACGAGGAGGTGATTGCAGAAACGAATGCCTATTTTACAGACTTGGACAAATTCTATTATTTGGAAGGGATTAACAATCTAGAGCAGCGTTGGATGAAGTGTATAAGCCTAAAAGGAGACTATGTTGAAAAATAAAAAAGATTTATTAAAGAAAATCATGTAGTTTTTATTTTTGCACGGACTTTTCAAACGACCCTCGTATCTCGATAAAAATAAGATATATTTAATTCAATAAATGTAGTTTCGAGGGCAAATGTGCTGTTCATGAGGGTTTACTGGGTTTTGAAAAAAAAATTTTCTCAGACTGTTTATAACCTTGAACATAATCATGGATTTTGCACTTTTAGGCTAGGATATCTCAAGAAGCACAGGTGATAGATCAATACTGAAGCTAGATTTGGATTCAGGACATCAAATATCTTCGGAAATATACTACCACGTTTCTGGGTTTTTTTTAGATATCGACCCGTGTTATTTCGATATATCACAAATTTGTATTTCTAATCTATTAGAGCAAAGTTTATTTAAAACCAAAATACTTCTTCGATCCCTCTTGACTTGTGAACTGTGCGTGGATGTGAGCGGTGCCTCAGATACATTTAATATCATCAGTAAACTCGTCAGACAGCACAAGGCGCAAGACTCGCAGAGTTATCGCAGGAGCGAAAAAAGCGTGCTGTAAAAAACCGAGATGACAAAGAATATCTTGTTCCCCCCCATCCCTTAGCCTCATATTCTTACTCATTCAATGCGTGGTATTATTTCAATCAAAGCAATATAATTCAGTAAACAAAATCCTCTAATAACACTTAATTAAACAGTGGAACTTGAACCAAATTAAGGTCCACCAGTTTTTTTAATACATAAAGTTGTTTATTAAGACATATTCGTATCCATCAAATATCAAACGTTGGTTTCCTGCATGGCGATAAAATGCTCTGTTCATGAGCTACTGAACTTGAGAAAAAATAACATTTTTGAAATAAAATCAAATGAAACAATCAAGATGTATAGGTACTTTCTAAAGTTGGCTAGTATACTACATAACACAAACATTTAACATTATAAGATATTATTGATAATAATTAATATTTATAGAACTATACGAGGGTGGTCCGATAAGTACTTAGCCTCACAGCCCGATGGCGCCACTGTCGCAAAAGAAATATTCTATCACGTAGTACAACCTTCTTGATGGTCACTGTCAAGATTTCAGCCGGATCGGAGTTGTAGTTTATTTTTGAGAGCGTGTGAAAGCAAGTGTGTTCGTTGATTTTTGAAAAATGGAAAAAGAGCACTATCGGTCGGTGATTCGATTCTTGTTTTTGGAAGGGAAATCGCGCAGCGAAATCAAAAAGCGCTTGGATGCTGTGTACGGTAACTCTTCTCCTTCGATAGCGACCGTCAAAAATTGGTTTAACGAGTTTCAACGTGGTCGTACGTCGATTTTTGAAGAGCCACGTCCAGGTGCTCCGAAGACGGCTATCACGAAGGATAACGTGACAAAAATTCACCATCTCGTATTGGCAGATCGACGATTGAAGGTGCGCGAGATAGCTAAGATCGTAGGCATCTCAAAAGACCGCGTGGGTCATGTCCTGCATGAAATTTTGGGCATGAGAAGGCTGTCGGCGCGATGGGTGCCGCGTTTGTTCACTCCGGACAACAAGCGCAACCGTGAGATAACTTCAGAGCAATGTCTGACACTGTTTAAGCGCAATCCGAAGGAGTTTCTGCGTCGTTTCGTGACAGTCGACGAAACATGGATCCACTGGTATACACCAGAGACCAAGGAACAGTCGAAACAGTGGACTTTACCCGGCGAAAGTGCTCCGAAGAAGGCGAAGACTGCCCTATCGGCCGGAAAGGTAATGGCCACCGTTTTCTGGGATTCACAAGGTGTGATCTACATCGACTACCTGGAAAGGGGCAAAACGGTCACAGGGATGTACTATGCCGAATTATTGGGCCGATTCGACATCGAATTGCAGAAAAAACGGTCCCATTTGGCGAAGAAAAAGGTGCTCTTCCACCATGACAACGCACCGGCTCACACCTCCGCCGTCACCATGGCCAAATTGGTCGAATTAGGCTACGAACTTCTGCCCCATTCACCGTATTCTCCAGATTTAGCCCCGTGCAACTTCTTTTTGTTTCCAAACTTGAAAAAGTCACTCGCCGAGCAGAAATTTGAGT